TTTTACGTCTCAATTCAAACACTTTTTACAATGAAGGCTGTGGACTGCTTGTCAGGTCGAACTGGTGAAGTGTTGGACGCTATGTTTTAACAGAAAAAAGAGATACTAATACTGCATATCGCACTATTCTCCTCAGGAAGGAACGAAACTCTTCTATTTTGTGTGCTCCAACAATTATACTTTCGGTGCCGGTAAAAACGCTCAATCTGATCATCATCAAAACCTAAACACAAGTTGAAACAAGTTCACTTTCGTCTGCTCATAAAATCAAGCTGCTCTGTCTAATCTTCTTAGGTCTTTTCATGCGCGTCTAAAAGTAGAAAGACCAACAGAATCTAAAAACCCATTAATAAAGGTCATTGCAAAGTAAGATTCCTACAGCTTTTCTCTGGTGTTAGCCTGTCATTATTATCGTTATCGTCTTTACTACCTTTCTCACCCTACATCAGGGTATTGTCCACGAACAAACACTTTTCATTTTTCACTCTCCTGTGCTAGCCTCTTATGCCATGTCTTCTCAATTTTCTGTACATCATTCTCTGTGACTCTTCTCAAGGTTCTACGGGGCTCTCCCCTTGAGCTGCAATGTTATTAAATATAGAGTAAAAATAATAGGAGGTTAACAGCATACTTTCTATTTGGTCTAACTCCAATTGAAACAACGGTGGCAAATTTAAATTCATGTTTAAATGAATTTCAACCTGCAACAACTGAGGAAATTTCCAAAATACTTACAACCTCTGCCAATAAGACCTGTTTGTTAGATGCCATTCAAACTTGGCTAATAAAAAACTGTGTTGCAGAAGTTACACCAGCAGTAACCTTTATAGTAAAATGCAGTCTCCAAGAGGCTTATGTCCCACCCATATTTAAGCTAGCGCTCGTAACACCACTGCTCAAGATATCACACTTAGACAAAAGTCTCATGAGTAATTACCGTCCTGTCTCCAATTTGATATTTCCTATCAAAAGTACTGGAGAGGCTAGTATCATCACGTCTCAAAAACTATCTTTTAGCCGTGGGTCTTGCCGCCAAATTTCAATCAGGGTATAGAAAATTTCACAGCACACAGACTGCCATCCTTAGAGTACACAAAGGCATAATCAGACACGCTGATCAAAAACAGTGTACAGCCCTTATTTTGCTTGGCCTGAGTGCAGCGTTTGACACCATCGATCAAGACCTTTTATTACAGCGGTTCAGAGTATACTTCGGCATCGGAGGATCTGCACTCAAATGGCTGAAATACTATCTCTAGGACCAATCCCAATCCGTTCAACTTACATCTTCGCATGGCAATCCTACATCAGAGGTTGGCAGTGCGAGATCATCGTCAGTTCAGCTTCATTATATAGTCCCCCAAGGTTCAGTCCTTGGACCTGTGTTATTTACACTCTACACAACTCCATTGTCTGGCATTGTTAAGCATCACATGTACGCCGATGACACCCAGCTGCACATATCAATCAACCGGGGAAAAGAAGATAAAAAGATTTCAACTTTTCAAAACTGCCTTCAAGATATCAAGGACTGGATGTTTGACAATAAGCTTAACCTTAAAGAAAACAAGACAGAAATAATCTTAATGGGAACAAATCACTTAAGAGCACATGTACAAATTGAGAGTTTGAATCAAGGCAATGCAACTGTTATGGTGGAAAAATCAAGTTCCATACGAAATCTTGGCTTTTGTTTTGACTCCGAGTTTTTCCATGAAAACACAAGTCAATAGAGTTTGTAAAACCTTGCACGTTCATCTTAGAAACATTAACAGAATAAGGAATTTTATTGATGGAAATACCACGGAAATTCTTGTTCATGGTTTTATTTTAAGTCGGATTAGTTATTTATTATTTTAATTCCCTTCTTTTTGGCATTCTGGGTTCTACTCTTGCCAGACTTCAAAAGATTCAATACAGGGCAGCAAGACTTGTAACTTTGAGAAAAATTTCAGACCATGCCCATGATATTTAGAAAACCCTCCATTGGTTGCCAGTGAGAGAGTGCATTGAATTAAAAATTTTGTGCATGGTTTATAGATCTTTACATCAACACTCACCAAATTATCTTTCAGAACTTATGGAAATGTACGCACCATCTCGTAATCTAAGATTTTCAAATAACCATCAGCTCTGTATACCTAGGTCCAGAACAAAGTTGGGTGATAGGGCCTTTTCCATCTGTGCCTCAAACTTTGGAAAAATTTGGATCTAGATATTAAAATGTCTCGTTCAATAACAATGCTTTTCAGGAAAGTTTTTCTTTTTTCTTTTTAAATTATTCATGCCGTAGTGGTACTGAGCTTTAAAGCCTGTGTGCGTGTGTGTGTGTATGTATGTATGTGTGTGTGTGTGTGTGTGTGTGTGTGTGTGTGTGTGTGTGTGTGTGTGTGTGTGTGTGTGTGTGTGTTTGTATGTGTGTGTGTGTTTTGTAAGTGCTACCGAGCACTTTTTGAGGATTCTTGCGCATTATAAATTAATTTATTCTTATCATTTATTATACTCCAAAAACATACAACTCACCTATTTTAATCAACACAACCCTTTGAAATACAACTATGAATCATGGCCCAACAAGCGGGTGAGTACTTTTTGAGGTCCAGACGGACTTTGGAAAAAACAACGAAATTACGCTGAATTTTTGGGACAACATGGTGTCGCTTTTTCAAACTGAGCAATTCGTAGGCTAGGTTACGGTAAACCATTTATTGTAGTGGTCCTGAGTATGCACCCGAAGGGGGGAAAGGGGGGGGGGGGGGATTAATATAGGATCCAATTGGGGGCGGAAAAAAAATTACTGAATAAATTTTTAAAATGTTTGGCCACTTTTCTACAGGGATGCTAAACAAAATCACGTGCACATTGGAAAATTAATAAATGCGGCGAGAACTGTATTACGGTGGGCAGATAAAAGTAAACCCGCTATGTTAGTTTCTTACCTTCAAGACAGTTGGGTTTGGCTGTTCACTCGTCGTGTTGAGCGAACCGAGCCACAGACAGAATCACACAACCTTAGGCAAGAACGCCCGGAAAGAATATTGTTAGCTGATAGTCAACAAGAGGGGTGTTGATATGTCCACGGTGGCACTTAAAACATAGACTGATATCACACTGAGTGACAAAGGTTTGATAACAAATTTAAAACATTTTCAATCAATGGGCTTGCTTTTGGTGTTGTTTTTTTTTCTTAAATCGGTGTCCGGGTACATGTAAGCTGGCGTGGCTGATCTATCTCTGTTTTTATCTACGCTCATCATGTTTTAACAGGATATAGGTATTGATCAAGGTGAACATTCGAATCAATCTGTATAAGGGTGACGATAAGGAATTGCGACTGCACGTTATTTCAAAGTACCCTCAAGTTACAAATGGTTAAAGAGTGTTAAAGATGTGTTTAGTTTCATGCATTTTAGTTTTTGAAATGTAGTTTTGAGAGAAACAGCGAACATTTGAGGGAGTTGCCGAACATTTTTCTTCCGTTGAGAATTAGGTCTTTCTGAGGGTTGGTGAATTCAATGCTTAAAAAAAAATAATTTGGGTGGGGAGCATTTGGTTGTGTTTTGGGTCTCATTTACGAGAAGAGTCTTCTTATGATTTATACTACATTTTTGAGTTTTGAAGTATAACATGACCAATCATTCAGTCAGTATCAGTATCGGTTTATTTTGTCAAAAATTGGCAATACAGATAGATAGAAGTAAAAAAGCCATCCCTCCTTAAACACACTAAAAACAAAAAGGAATACTCTCCCGACACAACCCCCCCCCCCCAGCCTACTTATCCTCACAAGTTATCCTAGGCAATACCAGATACTGCACTTTTGGTGGTTACTCACAAGGGTATGTCCAATTAAGCAAGGCAAAATAATATTATTACATAACCCTAGCTTTAAACAGTTCAATATTGTGGCCAACAGCAATATCATGTTAGTCAAGTTCTCTGTATACGTGTTGTAGTCTGTAAAATGATAACGGAAATGATTGTAGTAAGTAGATTTCCATAGCGCCCACTTCCATTTAAGACTCTAACCGTTAAAAAAAAAAATCAATGTAACATTGGACACTCAAACAACATTCAAGCTCATCATAGAATTATTCACATTCATCTATAACACTCGTCAACCAGGGCAGGCACACACACACACACACACACACACATACACACACGCACACACACACACGCACACACACACGCACACACACACGCATACACAACACGCACGCGCACACAGACATAAGCAAACGGATGGACCCAGAATCACTTAGCCTTCCTTATACATCAAAATTAATCAACTCTAAAGAGCATCACCTCAACTAACAATAGCCGGACCGTGGTATTATTTTGAAAAAGATGACCTTTTAGATTTCCTTTTGAGGTTTTACATTAGTGATGGATCTTAGCTTATTTTGAAGCGTTTGGGTAATCTCTGATTGTTTCGTGAATCTTTGTGCATATCTCTGTGACCAAAATTACCCCATAGGTGAAAATATAACTTTTATTAAAAGTAATAGAAGCAGCATCTTTTTACATTTTCCTTAAACTTAAACATTTTAAACTACTCGCACTTTGAACAGTGATGCACCGAAAGGGAAGGTCAAACCACACGCATTCTATCAATGACTTGAAATATCAATAGCGATTACGTTTTTGAATTTCACATGTCTGGAAGCAAACTTTTTGATGACGCAATATGACCTAATGAGCGGTAGTGAATGACAGGGCTTGGCAACCAAGGCGATGTCGTCCGATAATGGGCGATTTGGTAACTTTGGTGGGCTGTGGACATCACCCAGGTGTGGCAGTATTATACAATGCCCCGATTAGAAATACATGGCAAAAGCGGGCGGTGGCTAAGAAAAGATTGACAATCACTGGTATGAGGGATAGGGAGGAACCACTTGCACTACTAATGCGCTTAAAATAGTTGTCGTGTACATAATTCATAAAAAAAAAATTCCGAATACAAAAAACACACCCCTAAACTAAATGAGAAATGTAAGCACCTAAACATGAACATCTCTATTTCGAAAACAGAAGTTATGACGGTCAGCAGAAAGCCAGGGAAGCTCAATAACCTTTTTGACGGAACACAGTTCCAACAAGCAGAGGAATTTACATATTTTGGAAGCATCTTCACCGAAGATAGGCGTGTGGACAAAGAGATAGAAACAAGAAATATGAAGGCAAATGCATTGACCTACCAGTAAGCACATCTGCTCAGTCACAAGAACATCCCAAGCGAAGAGAAATCCCAGCTTATGAATAACATCTTCATACCAACTTGAACATACCAGTGCCAAACATGGTTCCTAAACAAACCACCAGAAAGGAAAATCAATACCTGCGAAATCGGTGTTTCCGCAAAACCATCAATGCCACTGAAAGAGACCGCATAAGAAACGAGACCATACGCCAACAAACCGGAACACTCCCAGTAATAAATTTCATTGCGCGTCAAAGAATCAAAGGGTTCGTGCATCTAACCAATATGCTCCAGAAAAAAATCCTAGGCAAGAGGCTACCACACCCGTGAATTTGTCTTCAAATCAAGAGGAATCAAGAAGAAGACAAAGGAAGACCTGACTTGATGGGGTTAAAACGGTCCTGAAACAACATAACATATCTATCACAGACGCCACACACAGGACCGAAACCTGCACCTCTCCTCGACATCCTAAGAATACCAGAGGAAGGAAAAAGAAAAATAAGATTATTCAATGTCCTTAAAAGAGGGATGGATCTAGCGTGTGTATGTCTGCCGTAATTCTCAAAAGTACAGTATATGCAGTTTTTACAATTTCACGGAGAGCAAAACAAATCAAACAAAATCGAATGTTGTTTCTAAGTAAACAACATTTGCTTTAAAGATAATAAGGAAGTTATTATCAAAATCGAAATCTTAGAAATATTGTCTGGGAATGCTTGCAAAGAGTTTGTTTTATGGGAACAACATTCACTTTTTTGGCTCTCCTATAAAACTGTAAAAGCTGTTATTTTACTGTGTTTTTAAAAATGACGGCAGTTGTGTGAGACAAGAGGGGAGAGTGGGGGGGGGGGGTATCTAATATCCTTTTTTTTCTACTGCTCATATCCCAAGAGGTGTGGCAGGTCAAAGGAGGCGTGTGCCTGCTGCTAGTCTTTATGCTTGCCGAGATGCTGTATGCAACGAGGGAGATGACTTTATTACACCAAGAGAAGATTTTAGCCCTGTTTTTTACATTATAAGACCAGAGGTTATTATGAGCAGAAAATTTACAGACTGTATGTTTATGGAATATTTCTTTTTTTCAGCATTTGGTACTCACGACTACCCTCCCAACCCCCACCCCCACCTCTCCCAACCAACCCTTTCGCTACTGCTAATGAAAATGACACATGGTCCTTAAACTTTTGATAACTTAAGCACAGAATGCATTTCTGCTGGACAATAGGATACCTGAAGCTAATACAAGAACTTTATGTTGAAGTTAAAATGATTATTTATAGATATGTGTCTTCATGAAAGACCCAACAGCTTCAAAGTAACTCCATTGGCCAGCCTATCAATCACACCTTTTCGGTAATATGCAGTTCTGCGGGCTGCTGAGCGCTACAACTATCATTCACTTGTCATGCCGATTGTTAAATACCCATTTACTGTTGGGTAAACCTCACAAATATTACATGTATGGTAAGAACCTATTCTTTAGATACGACGTCCTACCCAAAAAAGCTAGGAATCAAATTTACAATGTTACATCTTTTAATATTCCGGATGCCTTACTGCTCAACCAGGTCACCAGTTATTCGGCAACAAATTATTTGATACTCCTATTTATTGAAAAAAAAAGATATATTGTTAGGAACAGAGAGACGATTTTATGTCCAAAAAATTAAATCCCATTTCTTTCCAAACAAATAGATCTATACGTGAGAAGACTCAACTCTCTTTGTAAGGATTTCAGAGATTGTTCTAAGGATTCTAAAACTGTAAACTACAAGACTGACGAGTTTGACGTGTGAGAGTATCAAACTTGTACATTTGTTATTTTGAAATTAAAAGTAAAGATCGTGTTCACACCGCCCACAAAACCGTTCAAATCTGCATCAAATATCTTTGTAATTCAGTTGGGAGATACTGAACCTTCAAGATGTTATGATTAGTTAATAGCTGTGTACTGTGTTGAAAGGGGCGTCAAACTCATAAAATACCAAACTGACATAATTAATTTATGCAGACCAAAGAAGCACAAACGTTATCATCTGTGGATACGGAACCGGGCCTAGCTTGTCCAACTCGATAACAATAATATAACAAGTGACATCCTTTGCGTTTAGTTGGTTTGCTTCTGCGTTAAGTTGTTAGCCGAGATTCAAGTGACAACAACCGTTGAAAGTTGAGATAGGCATTGGGACCAACATTGCATGCGCAACACACGCATCAATCTCCGTCATTTAATCGATTGTACAGGGGGCTCTCGGGTTCGAATCCGGGTAGCGACCGAAACATTTTCTTCTCAAAAATTGTCTCCTTTCCCCTCTTTTCCTGCTCTCTAGCAATGTTCTGGTGGTCTAAAATCGATAAGAGTAGGCTTCGGTCGCCACCTGGGCAAAATTCAAAATTTTCTACCAACTGAAAATATTAAGTGTGTCCCGCGCGCTCATATGACCTAATGCAGTAAAACCATTACAAAAAAAAATCGATTGTACGTGCTGTATCACTCTCACCCCGGGTTTGTCTTGACGGGCAGTGTCGAAGTATCCCTCCTCATTAAAGATCAAAATTGTGTCGATAAGAGAGTTAAACATATTGCGAACAATAAAAAAGGACCTACACTCAAGCAACTAAACAACAGCCCTCTCTCTATCTCTGGTGGCGAGAGCGTTGCTTGATAACCAGCGTTCCGTACCTGTCGCGGTTGTAGACAATAGACATAATTTGTAGATAAATGATCTGTGAAGTACAGATGTGTGGAGAGATTGATGGAATGGAGAGGACAATTATCTCACTTGTCTCTGTACCACAAGGTTTATAAAAACCAGCGCCCCCTCCATAAAAAGGAACAACCCCTTCCCCCCAAAAACAAACAAACAACAAAACAACAACAACACCCAAACCCAACAACAATAACGACAACTCTCC